GAAGCCCTTGGCTACCCATCTGGCATCTGGCTCCAATGGGCTTGAGCCCCTGTGGCAGTGGGACCAGAGTGAAGGTCCTGTTGTGCATGATGGCCTTGATTTCCTCCTCCATTGCCTTTCCTTGTAGCTGTTGGGCATCTTGGGGCTTTTGCTGGCCATGGATGTGAGTTTGTGGAGTTGTATGTTGGGTATGCAGGTCTGTTGTGATTGGTGGGATGCATTTGGAGTGGGGTTGATCTTGCTGTTGCCCCTCAAGCCTGTGATGGGTGAGTGATGAAGATCAGGGTTGTAGAGACTCAGCATATCACTGAGGTTGACAGTCTCAACTGGGTGATCAGGCTCACATAGGGCCTGGAGGTCTTGGAACTTGCATCCCATGTACTTGCCTCCTTTATCAGAGTGCAGGTACTGACACTTGTGGTCACCAGGAGCAGCACAAAGATAGTCATCAAATACTGTTGTGAGGCTGGTCTTGGCCTTGATGAGGTAGACTCAGGTGTACCTTGTGTGGTTGTTGATGAATGACATGAAGTAGTGATGTCCACCTGGTGTTTCAGCCAGTGGACCACAGAGGTCCAAGTGGACAAGCTTGAGCATGAGATTGGTGCAATGAGCAGGTCCTGACCTGATGGTTGCTCAAGTGTGTTTGGTATGGATGCACACTTCACACTGGTTGAGGTGTTCTCTGTGGATGATGGTTGAGGTACTGTGGGTTGAGGCATGAATGCAGTGCTTGCTGATGTGTCCTAGATGATGATGTAGGAGGCCCAGGTCAACAGGCTGTGACTTGACAGTCAGTGTGTGGTTGCAGGGCGTGGTGTGATTCTCATTGAGGTGACCAGCATGTGCCTGAGACTGACTGGGTGGAGGACCATGTGATGGTCATGCCTGCAGAAGACTCTGCATCCCTGGGGTGAGATCTTGATGGTGAGCCTGGTGGAGCTAAAGTGTGATGTAGACAGCAGGTTTTGTGCCAGGCTGAGCATGTGCAGGACGTTGTGCAATTGGATCCTCTGCTGGCGACTGGTTATCTTTACACTTGTCTTGATGGTGCTGTGACTGGCAGTGTGGATGGTTTGGTCATTGCTGAGTGTGACAGGGTGGCTGGTCAGTGTTGTGTAGCTGTGGAACCAGTCATGATTGGTGCCATATGGGATGTTGCTCCTGAGTTGAGGTACCATAGGGTGGTGTCTGGGTTGGTGGATACAAGTGCCAACTCAGTCTCTGAGTGCCACAGTGTCCAGCACCATTGCCATGTCTGGCATGATGACTTCATTGGTGATGTTGGTGTGCTCAACATCAGACAGCCTGTGTTGACAGACCGTGTGCATGTGTCTGGGGCGCTGGCAGTAGTTGCAGATGGGTTGGCCCTGCTTGGGAAATGGGCCTTGCTGAGCTCACTGCCACCTGTTGTGAGTGTGCTGGTGCCACAGTTGGCATTGTGTGGCTGTGGGAAGTAGTTGCCTTGCTGCTGGCCAGTGCTTGGGCCATGGTGGGCAGGGTGGGCATCTGGCCCTTTGGTGTACAGGAGCTTGTTGTTGCTCCTGCTGCTGGCAGGTTTGTTGGCATGGGTGAGCTCAGCTTCTTGTTTGCCACACCTCAAGTGAAGAGTTCTTGTTCTATGACCCCATCAGGTCTTTGGCCCACATGTACACAATAGAATGTCCTGCAGTTTCAAATGGGCTTTGAAAATAGCATGTATGCAATGTGGCAGTTACCACCTTCAGGAGCTTCAACAGTTCCTTGTTGTTGGCCATGGCTGATGGCAGGGTGACTTGCACCTGCATACCCAACAACAAAAACTGTAAAACCAGACACTTACTTTATCACATACACATACACAATAACTACATGTTTGACCTACCAATACTTAGTTTATCATGTATGCTAGAATGTTTGCTCTTTTATCTCCTCCTTGCCCCACAGATCATGAGAAGCTGAATGCTCCTATTTTAATCTGCCATTTCTCAAGATGTTTTGTCTTGCTATTCTTGGTTCCAACCATTTTTGTGTTGTCAAATATATTTTTATGACAATTTTGTCAAATCTATTTTGTCAAAATCAGTTTTCAAAATGACTGGACCTCTCATTGAGCTATTCCAGGTCATCAAGCCCAGTGGTTTGCAGGTCGGGGTTGTGAAATTTCGTGTGGACCCAAAAATCCTTTCAAGGATAAAAAATGGCCAGGCAAAACACAAACCAAGGAATACCTCAATGGTTTGGTTTCACCAGCTGGTTTCGCGGTTATCAGTGTTCTTTGCATTCCCATGTTGTCCACACTTAATCCGAAATTTCGTCATCCATTTGCCGTATCCGCGCCAGCCAACCAGTGTGAGGAATAGCTCATTTCAAATTACTGCAAGTTTGACAAGCAGTGCTGTCAACTTGACCAGACAGCTTTCACTCATACTTGTGTACAAATTGCCTCAATGGCTTGCTCATGCATGCCTCTGAGGACAAGCTCAGACAGGACCATCTCATGAATAGGAAAGGTTGATGTCACAGTCAACAGACTCTTCTGTCATTCTTCCAATTCCATGAGGATGGCTTTAAACCACACCTATGATATGAAGTGTCAATCCCTGGCCAGAGTCTTGTCAAGCGTTGAAGATACAACAGCAGCGCTCAGGGAGATCGTGTTGATTATATTTGAAAAACGCCCGTTACTCCTCAACATACCAGACACCAAACGCCGTAAGATTGCACATGTTCCTGCCACGCCGAATCTTTCCGTAGCCATGGGTAGCCCAGCCAGTACCCCACGAGTTCTTGATGACCCAGTAGTCCTTGCCATTCTGCGTACCGTATCCAACGAGGAGCACGGCGTGGTTGGGCTGAAGATTAATGGCATGGTCCGTGTCGAAGACACCATCGCCGAGGTGGTCGAACTCGCCATCCGTGCCCAAAGCAACGACCAGAGGCCCCTTGGACACGAGTAGTTCGGCCATCTGATTCTCGTCTCTCGTTCTGACGTTCTTGATCTTAAGTCTACCTCTTATGTCGTTATTGATCGGATCGGCGATGCGGCAGACACCGTGTCTTTGCGTTCTACCGGATGTGTAGGGATATTTGTCCTCGGGGACTATATCCTTCACATTAAAGTACTCGAAGGTCGCGGTGGGCCAACCCCCTTCGCAGCCACCGTTATGAGCGCCGCCCATGAACTTCCTATACGAGCAGTCGATGATGTCCTGCTCGGAAATGTAGACCGTCTTCCCCGTCTTCCACTTCAAGTAGGCCTCGAGGGCAGCAGCCGGGGCGAACGCATAGCCCGCATCACAATAACCTGCGAATAATAACAATAATAATAAGAACCACCAAAAATACAAGATTGGATGGGGGAGGATGTACCCTGGTTCTTAACGGGGGTCATAATGCCCTGGTCTCTCCAGTCGAACCTCGAGGGTACGCTACTCGCAGGCGAAGGAGCGCAGGCAATGAGGAAGAAGAGGACCACTGTGCAGAGGGCGAGAAGGGTGGCGGGACGCGTGTCGGCTGTGCAGTGTACACACGACGGGTCAGTAAGAAGACTCTTGGTGTGGGCCAGGTTGACTAAAAGGAGTTTCCCAATTTTTGGCACGAGGATCCGGGCCATTTGAAGGTCTCTCAGTTCGCAGCGGAACTGGCTGAGGAGGCGCGCCAGAATGATCTTCATCTCCAACATGGCGAGCCTCTGGCCAGGGCAAATGCGAAGCCCGGTTCCAAACGGCATGCTGGCAAAGGCATCCGGTCGCGAGGGG